CAAAGGACATTGAGTTCTTTGAAATATATTGTCCATCAAAAGTCTTTGGAATCGCTCTTTGTCTGGCCTGTCATGTAGGACCAATCTGCCTTGAGAGACCCTACCAGGGGCAAATATAATTGTCTCTGACAGCATAGCTTCTAGGATCATTCAGGTGCACAAACTCCTCCACCACGATAAGGTGGCGATTCAGGGAGGAATGAAACAAAAATATCAAATTTAAATTATTATTATTAATAGTAGTATTATTTTCCCACATGGGAGTGATGGTGCAAAATCTAGAGAAGGCAAGTATGTGATTGGAAGGCTGCTGGTCCCCCCCCCACCCCCCCCCCGACCGATAACATCAAAATGTCTTCCCTTGTTTGTCCCACTTTGTCTCCTTGAGCAAGGCCTTTAACCCCCACCATCTGCTCCCCAAGACAGCCTAGATGACAGCTCTCTGCACCACACAGAGAGCTGTGGTAGCTTGGTGGTTTGTGGTTGTGTCAAGAAGGGCAAACAGTTGCCAAGTCTTCATTCAAATTAGTTCGCTGTGGCAATCCCTAAGGTAGGAAGCAGCCAAAGAAGGAAAAAAAATCTCAATTTTTATTTGAACACTTTAAAGTTTTTTTTTTTGTTGTTGTTTAAAAACTCTACATGTATTTTTTATTGACAAAATATTTGTTTTACAGTAATTTAAAACAAGTGTTTTCTTCCATTAGGACATCCTCTGGGTCAACATCCACATGTTTTTTCTCTTCTCCAGAGCTCAGAACTGATGCCTGGTTCTGTTAGTCCAGTCAGGGAGTTTCTGGACCCCCTCCTCTGTGCAGCGTCAGACCTCCTAATAGGGCTCGGTTTACTGTTTGTCTCTTTCCTCTTCTAAAACAAATCATGATCACCCTCTTCATCAACAAAGTCTTCACTTTCTGACTCAGACTGTTTTTTCCCCTTCATGATCCTCTCCTCTATCTGAGAGGTTCTGTCTGCGGTTCCATCCTCCTATGGGTTTGCAGTTTCGTCCTTCTCGAGTTCAAAAATCATCTCATTGTTTTGACTCAAACACTCTAAAACTGACTAAACTAAACACTAAACACACAAAACTACACCCTAACTATAAAACCCAAACACACTAAATATCACCATTCTCTCAAACCTAATGACTCACTCCACCTTTTGCTGTGATTTTATCTCGTGCCAAATTCCATTCATCTTCCGCGTCCACCAAAAATACTTCCACTTCCACATATGCCTATTGCAATCTTTACAAACTCCTCGAAGCAGTAGAACTGGCCCCAGGAAATCCAGCCGTAAAATTGCTGGCAAAAACTCCAACCCCCATCATCTCCCAGGACCGGTCAGGCATGAACACAGTAGGGTGGCTATTTCTCTTGTCCTGGGTGGCTGTAGCCTGCCTACATCCATTTTTTGGCCTTGGTTGCAGTTTTGATTTATTGGTGAGCCACTGATCCATGGGGGTGGGGTAGGATTTCCAGATGGTGGTTTATTAGTTTCATGTAGAAGTGGCTGTAAGTTCCCACCCGTGTTGGGCCTGTGAACGCACCTATGCCCCGTTTCCCCACCTCCAACTTTGGTCTTCAGTATTGCTGGGCCCATTAGTATATAAGCACCGGGTGTGCACGTCAAGCATTTGATTCTCCACATTTGTACTGCTATTAAGGTAAATGTTTTTGATTAGCCATGTATGGCTGATTGAGTGCTATGTAGATACTGCTGCATATTGTTGTTGTCATGTTGCCTGGCTGACACCAGGGACTGGATGGCTTTAAATTTCTTAAGTTTCAATGAAAAGAAGTCTGAAGTCATGTTGTTCCCTCCCAACGACACGATCACAAACCACTGCATCGACCTTTCCGCTCTAACCCTGTCAGTAAAACAAAGAGTCACTAATCTGGGCGTGATAATGGACCCTTCCCTGAAACTTAACAATCATGTAAACATGATTGTTTCTTCCAACTGAGGCGGCTGTCTAAACTGAAGCCCATATTGTCCAAAAAGAACCTGGAGACATTAATACATGCATTCATTACATCTAGGCTTGATTATTGCAATTCGCTCCTGTTTGGTATCAGTCAGACCTCCATTGCACGACTACAACTGGTCCAGAATGCAGCAGCCCGATTTTTAACCAGTACAGGCAAAAGAGAGCACATTACACCAGTTTTGGCCTCACTGCACTGGTTACCGGTTCACTTTCGATTCCAGTTCAAAATACTCATGTATGTCTACAAATCACTGAACAGTGTCGCCCCCCCTATCTCTCTGATTTGCTACAACCGTATGTCCCACCACGCTCCCTGAGGTCAGCGGACCAGTTGCTCCTCACAGTTCCAGGAACTCGTCTTAAGCGCAGAGGTGACAGGGCTTTCTCTGTAGCAGGACCAATACTCTGAAACGAGTTAACTCTGCTTGTCAGACAGGCCCCCTCCCTCTCGGTTTTCAAGTCCCGTTTAAAAACTCACTACTATTCAATAGCTTTCACCACAAGATGATCTGTGTTTTGATCCTGTATGCTCTACACTGGTTTGTCGTCATTATCTGCATCGTTTTTTTTTTGTTGTTTTTTTTGTCTATATTCTGATTTACCTCATTTTGTATTTTGCTTTGTGTGTTACCTGATGTTTTGTCTGTACAGCACTTTGGTTGGCCTTGTTGCTGTTTTAAGTGCTTCATAAATAAAGTTGTATGGTAAGGTATGTTGGTCTGTTTAAAGTGACTTGTATTTGTTTTTGTCTTTTTAGGATGTGTGCCAATGGGTAGCAGATTGCCACAGAAGCTGTTTGAATTTCCGTGTTAGTGGGGTTGTGACTTAAAAACGTACTTGTATTTTATCGTATATTGATTTTTATCATTTGCTGGCACCTTACTAATTGATTATTGATGTTGCTATATTATGCCCCCACCTTTGTGTGCATTTTTTTTTTTTTTTTTTTTGGGGGGGGGGTCTTTATATGCTCTCATGTAGCTGGCATTGTGTTCACCTGCTGCTAGGTGATTTGGAGTTTGTGCCAGGTTGGTTGTAGCACTTTATAACTAGCACTTTAGAGCTAACACTTTAGAACTAGCACTTTAGAGCTAACACTTTAGAACTAGCACTTTAGAGCTAACACTTTAGAGCTAGCACTTTAGAACCAGCATACTTTGTATTGCCACCCAATCATAACTATATATTTTTATAGTGGTTTTTGTTTTGCTTAATTTTGCCTTTGGTTGTTATTATCAGGTTTTAAATGTAAATAATAAAGTCTGTTTCGATATTGATAAAAGGAATAAATAAATATACTTGTTACACTATTTCTGCTTTTGTCAATTGAAGCCAAGCTTACCTGGGTATTTTTAATAGGGAGACCCTAGACAATCTAGTATTATTTGAGGAGTCTACCAGTTAGTTTTAGGGTCACGTCCTCTGAGTCACAAGCCAGGTCAATCCCCCATGTTACATATAAGTGGTATACAACTCAACAGTGTTGATGTGGAGCACTGAAATGTCTGTCAAATATCCTCCTTTCTATGTCTTGTGGCCGGCTGGTCATACATAAAATATATGATGACTGACACCCTCAAGTTTTAATGTTTGCTTTCCCTTACATGTAACAATTATTTTGGATACATCTTTTGGCAGCTCAGAAGCCAATGGCAGGTTGACTTTAACTCCCCTGTGAAACATCAGTCTTTACTCAAATCACAGCAAGATGGGGAGAAGACATTTCTAGTCCATCTTAAAAGTGTTTAAGACTTGAACCATCTCACATAGATTGATAAGCTATTCAGCAGGGGACAATGACCAAAATAAAGGCAAAGAGAAGACATGTAGACTTCAATGACCATGTGACTGTGACTGCCTCATCACTCATAAGCACTGAAACTGGGTTCCAGATAACATGAACATGTTCATACTTTGATGATATTGAAGAAACAAGACCGGATGTCTAGTTACTTTCTAATCTTCTCTTAGGAGTCCACCTTTTCTGACATTTTTTTGAACTTTTTTCCATCTTTGACAGGGCGGTCTGTGCCATTTAGTGACAAAAACAAGAGGAAAAAATAACATCTTACAGAAAAGTATGAACAGAAATCTTTTCATTTTCGCATTTATTAAATTAGGTTTGATCATATGAAACTGGAGATCAGACATGATTTAGTGGTAGAAAACATGTCAGTATCATGTCAGCATTCTCTTTCTCATAAAACTACAAAGTCAAATGAAATGGGAGAAGCAGAAAATTTGAACCATATAATGATTCCACTAATGACAAGGATATGTGGTAAAGTACCCAGGTCACGTTCTAATCTGAGACTATTTTGATACAGCTGATTCAGCTTTGCTGTGTGTGTGTGTGTCCATGTGGCAGCAGATGTCACCCCCCGCTTACACCTTATCATTTTGTCCCTTCGTTCTCGCACCGGCTCTCTCCTCACCTCCACCTCTGCAGTAGCTCTCTCTTGCTCATTTTTTTTCCTGTGCCGGCTGGGGAGACACACTTTCTGCGTTTCTGCCTGGCTGCTGGCTTTGCTCCAGCATCACTCCGTGCCTCTTGTGTTTCCTCCTCCCTCCCCTACACCCCTGCAGCTTATGTCTCCCCCTCTGAGGTTTGTCGGCCAGTCTGCTTTCCCGGCTGTTGCAGCTGCTGGAGCAGAGGAGCTTCTTGACGCTGCAAGGCTACGCTGCTGGTATCACTCTGCCTCGCTTCTCCTTTCTTTCTTTGCCTTCACACTCTGCTTTATTGGCTAATCTGTCTTCTCAAGCAGCAGCAGAGGACAAGACAGGAGCCAGGCAAAAAGACGGAGTCTCCGCGTTTAACTACTGCATTGTCCCATTTGTCTTTTTCTTTTTCAAGCAGCTGAAGAACAGAGCCAGTACAACAGGACAGAGGAGATCCTTTTTCTCTGTTGCACTATACTTGCCTCTGCTCATTCTTGGGACAGAGTGCAGGGGAGGAGAAGAGGGAGGGACGAGAACAGACTTCAGACTGCCTACAGCTGCACAGCTCAGTGTCCAACCTTGTCCAGAAGCACATAAGTCAAACACTCAAGCTGACACTGGCAGACTGGAAAACTGTTTGACAAGTGGACACACTGTGTACACATAGAGGAACAGACAGAACCACAGACAGACAGGTAGGCAGGGGGGTGTTGGTGTCATGGCGTCAGTGGATAGTACTGGTTCGAGTGTCTCTGGTCGGCTGAGATCAGGAGATCTGCTCCATGCTGGTCTTGCAGTTGCGCTGCTGCTTGGTGAGTTAGACTTCCCTCTGTACATTTTACTTGACATGCTGTTCCCACATTTCCTCAGAACACTGTGTCTCAGTTCATACATGACACATGTCACGTCACTGTATGATTATGGTAATATTTTTAATTGTTTCAAAATAACTTATTTGTCATTTGCATCTTTACTTATTTGTATAAGCATTTCTGCATGTCATTGTGTATGGGAAGTTTGATGTTACTACAGTAAATGTTTAGCTTGCTTTATTAAAGAAACTCTAACATCTCTAGCTTTAGTATTCACTCCTAAGCTTCCTGTCCTCACCCACTGACAGAAGCGTATATTGCTGTCATAAGTGATATTTGCTTCACTTTGGAGGACATCTGGGTCAAAAAACAAGTGTTAACTGATCTAATTTTAGGCATTACAGACACTGGCTGGTTGATTAGATAGCTGGCTAATTAAATGAGTTTGAATACATTTATATAAAAAAAGAGGATTGAAAACACTGATAATATTCTCTCAGGAGATTGTGCTTGCTCTTTTGACAAAAACACCCAATAAAATAAAATAAAATAATAAAAAAAACAGTCTTCAATAGTTTGTTCTTCACATCGTTCTGCTTGCTAAAAGATTACTTCACATATACGTCAACTTTTATTATAACATGACGTCAACACTGATTGTGATGCATGGATCATCAGTTTTGTTGTTGTTGTTTTGTTTTTTTCCATTACGCTATTCCCTCCTTGATTTTGTTGTCATGCCCAGTAGTGCACCCACGTCTAGAAATTTCCTGATGTTTTAAAACATTTTACAGATGTTTATATGTTTTGAATGTTGAGCATGTTTTGGGCATTATAACAGAAATGAAGAAGAGTGTTTACGAAAAACATGTAAAATAGACAACAACTTGTTTTTTTACAGAACATAGCTTGGTGATATATACTGT